CTGAAATGGTGCATCCTGTAGTAGTTGCTATATTTGAATCAGAGATCTACACCTTGGAAATGGTAACCAGTACTGGACTTAATCTTGTGACACTATAGCATTTTGAATGGAATTTTCCAATTATGGGGTCTGCATGAAGTAAATGTAACCTTAGAAGTGGTCCCATGTGTTCACACCTTGAAACTGCCAAGCACAAAATCATAAAGGCATGCCAACATACATGCACATGCACAAATCATACACACATGCATCCTAACCTCTAAGACAAGCAGAGAGGCATGCCAATAAATTTAAACACCTAGGTGCATACATCCCCCCAATGCCATTTTTAAGGCTTGTGCACACATCACCTACATGGCCTTTGCAAACTGTAACTCTCCCGATTTATTCTCCCCTATCTCTAGTGAACTAGTTGTGAACATTGCTTAGAGCTACTGTGCTGCTATCTAGAGGTAAACAATGCAGTTAACCTCTTGGCATAGCAACCAAGTGATAAACATTAATGTGTGCATAAGCCCTAAGAGATAGCCCTACGCTCATATATGTGGAGAAATGTGCTACTGGATAAATGGATTCACTATTTTGGAAAACACTCTGCAATATACAGTAAATCGAAATGAACTGAGACCATATACACATCCCGCAACCAATGACACACTGACTCATCTCAAACATACACACTAAATTCAGCTGAAAACACATGCAGCTGTGATTTCAAAAACACATTTTCAAAAGCATTCATACACATCATTAGTAGATACTCTATACCAAAGTTTTATACTGCAGCCTGAAAGCCTTCTGTGGTTAAAAAGGACAGAAATTGCCAAGGTCTTACAGTAACTAACAGCTTTCTCTTTTTATAAGGAAATTCTGGGATAGGATTTCTTTGAACTGCAATTTTTTTAAAAAGTGTACATTTCTTTTAATGCTTCATTTGTGCTTGACCCAGGAGTTGTAGTGCCAAATACCATTCCCTCATAGTAGAAATAGTTGTAAGTAGAGATAGATGGATCAGGCTGTTTTGGTTCATGCCAGTTTCATAGATTTTCATTCATATGCCTGTATGTTACTGCTTCTGCATTAATCTTTTTTTAAAAGCACTTCAAAACTGGTATTTCAGTACATATTTAAATATGCTTTTCTGGATTTTTTTAAAACAAAATGCACACTATTACTTTATTTTTTCCCTCTAAGCACATTCAGTCTTACAAAATGAATGTTATATGCAGTTTTGTTCATTGACTGAATTATTGTACAGAAAAACAATGCAGAAGTGGAAAATCTAAAGGTTAATTCCTTGGATATTAGTCCAGGAAGTGCAGATAAAGTCATTTTATACCAGAACAGATTAATTCTTTGGGCATTACTAGTAGTGGTGACCTTGCACCTAAATATATTGTATTTAAGACCTATCCTTTACCTGAGGAGTACATAGAGTTCCTAAGCAGGCCTTCAGAACCTGGCCAGACCTGCTTAGTTTCTTAGATAAAAGCAGCTAGCCCCTTCAGATTATTCACTTTACTGAGTTTTCCTATTTCCCTGCATAACCTTTCATAACACAGTAAACTCTTGCCAAGATAGGTTCACCATCAATAGAGAATAAATCTGTGTGCTATCTTTTGTTCATAGTGCAGCAGTTTCTGGGTTTTACCATAAGCTAATTTGTCCAGCCATGGACAGCAAGATTTCTGTTTTATTTTCTTTTTGCACTCATCAGTATATAGTTTTGAAGAATCTTCTCCATACTATACAGCAGTGTTCCCCAACCTTGGGCCTCCAGATGTTCTTGGACTACAACTCCCAGAAGCCTTCACCACCACCTCTGCTGGGCAGGGTTTCTAGGAGTTGAAGTCCAAGAACATCTGGAGGCCCAAGGTTGAGGACCACTGTTATACAGTACATTCCGTGTGCAAACTTCTACCAGTGGTGTCCCTTGTGAACACCTCTCAAAATCTCCACTGTCTCTTTGTAGACTCGCCAGAAATTTGGGAACCACAACTGCCTTACTCTTTGGGAATTAAAACAGTATTTAAGATTTTGAATGCTTTAGTTAGTTTGGAAGTGTTTCAATTTTTGGTTGTATTAAAATGTTGATTTAAGAATTTCCAGTCAGCACTGTAAGTTGATAAAGAATCAGAGGGAGGGACTTGAACACAACTTGCAACTGTGAAGCAGGTTGGAAAGTTGGATTTCTCATTTTGCTTTGTCTTCACATTCGGTGCTGCATCCCATAAATTCAGTATAATTCCCTACAGACCTGACACAAGTATTGATTGCTGTGGCCAGACAATCTGTGTGAGAAGTAACAAAGTATATTACTGAAGCAAATATGAGATAAATAAGCTAAGCTTCAAGAGGATTTAAACACCACCAGTCGATTTATTCCTCCCTTTATGAGGTTGTATGTTCTCTCATTTATGTCAGGACCAGATCTTCTTAGATTCTTCCTTTGCAGGCTATTTTCAAAATTATTTCTTTCATTTCCGCTAGCCTCAGTGTATATAGCTTCTTGCTCAATATTATTGTATCATGCATTTCCTTCTTCCAATATAGAGAGTTTCTGGTTTTCCCAAATCTGTTTATTCTGTTTTTTAACTGAGAAAATAAATCCAGACACATATCCTTTCCCCCTTCAAACACGCATGCGTGCACACAAACACATGCATGCACGCACTCACGCATGCGCACATGCACGCACACACACATGACTAAAACATATCTGTGTAATCTATTCTTGCCTTCTATTATTCCAGTAATTATGTGCTTCTCAGTCAAATTGGATATATATGGGAAAGTCATATGTGAACTTTACTGCGTTTTCCTATTTCCCTGCATCCATAACCTTTCATAACACAGTAAACTCTTAGATCTGTGTGCTATCTTTTGTTCTTAGTGCAGCAGTTTCTGGGTTTTACCATAAGCTAATTTGTCCAGTTGGTACAGAGCAGGATATTTCCACATGATGTCTGATGTTGGCAATAAAGTTAAAAATGAATACTGTACTGTGTAAACAGAATCTGTCCCTTCTTCAACCTTCCACCCATCATATTTCTACGTCCAGTACTGTACAATCCAGCATACAGGCATGAAAGCCAGATTTTTGATCAAACTACAAATAATGAGAAAAGCAATAATATATAGTGTAGAGAGTGGAGGGGAGATGCAGCTTTTAATTGCATCATTTTGTACAGCCAATATAGAGGAAAACGTTCACTTATATATGCACCTGCTAGTGCCTGTCTGCTGGGGGTGGTGCTGAAGTGTTTCATACCAAATGCTACAAGCAGCAAGAGTATTTTGATGATACAAACTGCTATATAGGACTATTCATTCTCTTATTTAACAGGAGTATGTGCAATAGGATTTCAAACAATTCAGAACAAACTCAATTCTTAACTGATTTAAATTATCAGTGCATCAGATACTATGCAAAAAAGAAAAGAAAAAGGGAAAAATAAAAAATTAAATTAAGTTTTAAAAAAGGAAATCAAAACAATTCATTTCATAATAACAAATGTTAGGAATTAATAGCAAGGATTCAAAAGAGAAAATTCAAACATGCCAGGTAATAAAAAGACATGTGCAGAATTCTTAGGCTCTGTATAGTAGGAAGGTGATCTTTAGAGGGGACTCATGGAACGATCATCAATGTGACTCATTCAATTTAGGAGGCTCTCTGCAGAGAAGAATAGCTCTGGTCATTTTTTTTCAGCTGTACAAACAACTGTTGAATTTGAATTAAGCTTTGCCTTACCTCAACCTTCACCCACTTTTCAATATCAGCACATTCTGAGAACACAGATTAAAACATGCCTGTAATTCCTGACTTGACTTCTCGTGATAAACAGCTGGATTGACCTATGGAAACTGGAATACAGTATATGGTCAACGAATCTTGTTGATCTAGTCTTGTTTCCAAATCAGTATTTGGAATGAAGACCAGGTGAGGAAAATTTACTAAATATCTCTTCTTATTCCTGAAAATTTTCCAAACTGTTTATGAGAAAATTTGGAAGGTATGTCTAAAAGTCTTTAATGCTTTGAAATATTGTTTCATCTGTTAAGCCTTTCTAATCATATCTGTTTGTGTCATATTGTACTATATGGAATCATTTCATATACTGGTGAGTTGCATGCTGTAGTAACAATTAATGAGGGGTTCCACAAGTATGTATACCTATGTTCGCTTGGGTGTGATGGAAGACCAAAAAAATCATCACTCCCCAATTAGCATGGTGGACAGGGGGTGCATATGCAGAGCTGACTGATGGATTACAATGTACGGGCGAGGTTCTAGAAGTGACATTTTATTTCTTTATTTACTTGTCTTGTATCATGTATTTGCCTTCAGTCCGAACCTTTGTTTCCATAGATTAGACACTTGTCTGTCTCCAATGTAATATACTCATGTTTATTATGAGATTACACATTATATATAAATTGTACCATTGAACACGGGTACAAATATGAAGTTCTGCGTGGTTATGTTTGAGTTTAAAAAGTTGGGAATGTAGAGGCCTGGCATTTCTCCTACTTCATTTCCACTGTTCCACCTCGAAAGAGTTGCCCAACAGATCTCTGTGAAGTGGCAAGTCTATCATTGTCCTAGGAAGTTTAACACAAGTTTGGGATATCAAAATCCTAAGCATGGATTACTTCTGCAACTTCCTAGGACAAAACTTGTTCTTCGTGCATTCACTTCACATAGATTTTACTTATTTTCCTACTATACAGGTCTTGTTCATGCCAGGCTGGTTATGAAGGAAAGAAAATGGTGCAACAGTCAGAAAGTCCTCAAAACTGTTTCAGACATTAAAGAAGCAAGCAAAAGCAAAAATATTTAGAACAATAACCAAAATTCAATCCTTTAAAAAGATCTATAAATAAAAAGGGAGGGAGAAAGAAGGGAAGAGAATAAAACAAAGAAGAGGTTAAAAAACTGGAAGAGACAAATGGATGTTAAAAGCAGGCACATTCATGGACAGATGCCAGCTACTTACGTTCACCTCGGTGATTGCTATATCAACAATGCTACCCACAACAATCAAGGCGTCAAATGTATTCCATGCATCACAGAAATAGTGCTGCATGTGGCAGAGAAGCCAAGGAAAAAGAGAAAGAAAGAAACAAAGACGAAGAGAGAAAGAGAGAAAAAAAGTATACGTATAAAAATAAACAAAAACCAAAATAAATAAACAAAGCATGAAAGAGGGAGAGAAGAGAAAAAAATAAGAAAAGAAAGAGGTTACGTGGGCATATTAAAGAGTCTCTTACCACTCTACAGTACTGGTTGCTCATACCTCTGTAACATGATGGAGGGTATCAACAAAAGCCTGGTTAGTTAGAATGTCGCACTCAAACATGTCTGGAATATTTTGGAGGGAAAAAGCACAAGCTCTGTGTGCTTTCACCAGCCACAGCTGTGACGAGTGAAAAAGGAGGCTTTCAACTCCCCCTTTTTCCCCCCATGGGAGAAGGACGACGGCAAGTTCAATAAAAGCATGACTAGAGGGAAGAAAACACAAAGCAGAAAGAAAAAAAAAGAAGAAGGAAACAGAGGAGGAAGAAGAGAAGGGATATTTGGTGGCATCCTAGGAAGGGTAGAGTAATACTCACATTAGTTTCACTGAGAATGACGTCTATAATGCTGCCAATTACGATGAGGAAGTCAAAAACATTCCAAGGATCACTAAAGTAACCCTACATAAGGAAGGGGCAGGCAGGATGGGGATTAAAAAGGAATGTTAGACAGACAAAAACAGTTCAAATTTGCCATTAGAATTACTGCCCTTTTACCTTCCAGTGGCCTTAGAAGAGCAAACTGGACTAGGTTTTGCCATTCAGCCACAGAAATTGGCATTACTCAAACAAGCAATCCTACTGAAACTAAAGGGATAAGGTGTTTATATAAGGGCTATCTTGTATAAATGCAAATATAGGATGGCATGGTTCTTGAATATGAATGCTAGGAAGACGCCACTCCCTCATGTTCTGCTGTATCATCTTTGACTCTTTCTTTAAATATTACTAGCCTGAGTGCATTCTTGGTTAACATTTGGGCAGCTCAGGCACTCAATGGGTAGGAGAACAAACAGGAGAGAAAAAAAGAGATTATCCCCATAACTATATCCATCTAGCTGTAAAAGGACCCATTATGGAATATAAAACCTGGACTGTAGTATTTCAGTCAGGGAACTCTACACTGGAAACCAGGATTATCTGACTAATGATGGGAACTGAATTCATGCTTAATTACAAGAGGCAGTATTCTGTACCATATCACAGTATGCTGTCCTATGTTATTCTGTGATATGGTACGCTACTGACAGAAATTGGTTGTCTCTGGAAAGTGCTGGAAATAAAGCAGTGTAGAGTAAATAAAGAACCTAGATAATGATGCAAAAAAGATGGGCTTGCTACAAAATAATCTTTCAAATGTCCTGTCCCTCAAGCTCATCTCCCTCCTCCCACAATAAGGATTGCTATTTTTCAACTAGGTTTTTTATGCTTCATAATGAGCAGTATGTACCTTAACTATTCGTTATTGCAGTGTTTTCTCTCTTTGTGACAAATTGTAGATAAATTGGATTAAGGCATATTGTAAATTGGACTGAAACTTTTTGAGTCCTGAAATTTGGTTTTTCACCTTAAAAAAATAGGGAACTGTTTGCAAATATTCTGTATTTTATATCTCAAAAAAAAAACTCCTTGCCCTGTTCAAAAATCACTCTCACACTATAATATGAAAAAATGACACACGCCCTCTGGTTGTTTATCCATTTACACCAGTCTGAATCCCTGTTTCTCAGCTGTGGACTGTTTTCAAAGAGGCTAAACCCAGTGCCACAGTATTTTCTATTCTTAGTGCAGTGAAGAGCAGGTCATGAGTAAAATTTAAGGCTGAGTTCCCAGGAAAGTTTACAGAAAGGAGAAAGCAGAGGAGGGGAAGAGCAGTAGATTCCATTACTGGCAACAGACAGACCAGGTTTAAGAAACTTATAGAGGATAATAATTATAACCCACAGCTAGGCCACACACTGACAAAGAGTTCATTTTTGAACTCTCCAGTGTATACCAGCTGAAGGTCTCAGGACTGAAAATCCTTATAGATTCATACTACTGATTCTGTCTGATCCGTATTTGGAGTAGTTGTTAGAGTGCTTTATTGGAGGAAACAGAATAGAGTGTAGAGTTAGAAGAAAGCAAAGTAATTTCTGAAGAACTCAAAGGAAATTTCCATGCACAGCATATATCAAATGTTTTTAATCTCATTGATAAGGGCCTAGTGCTTTGGGAAAGGAAGAAAGAGTACAGGAAATTAGAACTGGGAGATATCCATCAATACCCAGCCTACAGGTCTGAGAGTAAAACATTAGAATTAGTGTCATGGTGATCTCCAGCATCTCTAGGAACCAGACGTACCTGAAATAAAACTGTAATTAAAACTTTAAACTACAGGGAAGGAGAAAAGTTACAGATTAAGAGGTACAAATATTTTGAGTAACATACCACATATTTTGGATGTACTGTATAAATAGATTAGCAAGAATACGTTCATGACCCCTGAACAGATGATAGCTTGGAGATTTATAAGGTAAATGAGAAACGGGACAATTCAATCATAGTGTATTCAGTGAAGGCAGGTGAAGTAGGTGACCATTAGCAGGACATAAATTATGAACATATCTGTCTTCCATGTCATTCTTTCTAGCATCTATTAAAGGTTTCTCAGGGTCATATTAGATGCAGTGACTTCAGATCTCTAGCATCCAATGCTAAGAGAATTAAGACTTTCTTCCCCCCCTTCCTAATACCAAAAAATTGAGTCAAATAATTTCCCAGCACTTTTGAGCTAGTTTTTGTGGTGCATGGGAATTTGGAGCGTGGGGTGTCACCAATTCTGGGAGAAGCAGTGGGATCCAGTAGAATTACTTAATTGGATCTTAGTCAGTGTCTGTTGTTGATTTGAAAATGAAAGAGTAGCCACCAGTGAGAAGTGCTTTCATCCTTTGCGCCTGACATGGTCCAATCAGAACTCTGCACTACATTTCCATTGAAAGAAATATTCCCATCGGTGTCGCTCATTTGTTTAAAAAAGAGAAAACACCACGATCTTCATAATGGCATGCCACGAGACCGCATATTATACCTAGTTTGACTCTCAGGTTGTATATGGATTTAAATTTTGATAGTCTTGAAGGAGGTGCCATAGAGTGGTTGTTTTCATAGGATATACTTTTGTGTTTCACCACAAACTCTTGACAAACCAGTTCTGTAACTTTTGTATTATTCCATTTTGTACATAACCCATAAGAAGCTTCCAGAACCACAAATGGCACTGCTACAAACGAGCCTTGTGGTGCAGTGGTTAAACTGCAGTGAATATTTTGCTCATGACCTAAGTTTGATCCTAGGCTAAGGTAACTGGCTTGAGGATGACTCAATCTCTCATCCTTCCAAGGTTGGTTAACTGAGTACCTATCTTGGTAGGCCAATGTGTAGCCTTCATTAAATATAAGCCTGACACTTTGCACATTTCTACAATACGTACCATGTGCAGTTCAGTGGGCTTGTCATGGTCAACTACTAAATAACATGCTGTCACACCTCCCCAAACTCAAATTTAATGATGATGATGATGATACTACTGTAGTGTGAGTAAATTTTACTTGAGCAGGATCTGTTTGTAATCCAGTCTTTAATTTCACTGCTCAGATTATTTCTAAAGGACCAGGAGCAGTATCTGCATCAAGCAGAAAAGAGGGGGATGGGATGCCCTACTCCCCTGTACACACACAGAAAGTCATTTCTCCTTCCTCCATTATGTGCATATGCTTATCTAATTACTAATGCTAGATCAGGGTACTACACAATGATGTTAAGGGAGAACTTGCTCCTTTTGCTCTACAAAAATAACTGTCAGTACTTAAAAAAGGCAAATGCAGATATGAATTAGGATTTTAAAACACACATCCTCTGGTGTGATATTAGAAGGTGAGGCATCTTTCCCAAATGTTTGCATCTGAAATCTGTTCCTAACCGTCTCATGTTTGTTTAATTATCTGAATCCTAGATAGAATGCAGGAAGACATTTTGTTTGATTAATATTTAGCCACAGGATATGTCACCAACAACACTGCATGGGCTTTAGAAAAGAGCATATTTCGTGGCCTAAAGACACTAGCCAGAGCTCCTTCTCAATGTCAACCAGGAAAACCAACCAAACCTAGCAATTAGCAGAGCAATCACTGGGACCAAATGTTAGCCTTAAGTGCACATTAAAAACAACAGTGTACTGAATTCTATCCTCAGCTAAAACTGTGAATCCACTAAAGATGAAATTCTGCTGTATTAAAAACAATGATATTTTTGCCATCAGTAGAAGTAAGATTGCACCTAGGAACAGATGTGAGCTGTATGAATGCTACTGGAAGTGGAGATGCTCATTTGAGGTGTGCTTGAACCTCAGGGCAGAATATAGTTTATATAGCAGAAAAGGCACTTCTCTCACAGCCACAATCTCCTAGGGATTATGTTTACACCAAGGTGATTCCAATTGATTTCTGGCCTTTAATACGAGTGTTACAGTATGCCAGCTCTGGAGTCAAGCAATAGTTCTCTGTGTGTACTGTGTTTCCCACTCCCCATCTTCAGTGGTTCACTGCCATTGCACAGCTTGTTGCTTTTGTGACATGCATGAAATATAAATAATGTGGGAAGAATTCAAAATCACTCCATTTGTGTTATTTTGATTATAAATAAGAATCTTTTAAACAGTCTTGCCATTTTAGCCAGCTTTCCATCAAACATTTCATATAAAAATATAAACTCATAATTTTAAAAGCATTTCCAAATCTTGCTATTAATTGTAGTATAACATGAATAACTGAAATAAGAATACTGTTTCTGTAGTACAGGCCAAATAAATAGCATGTTCTCAAGTTTCAGAAATGCTGTACGAATTATGTGCCTCATCTGACTTGCAATCCTTCTTCAAATAATGAGTCTTTCTTGAAGAATGTCTCTGTTTTAAGAACAATTCCTATCAATTGTCAGCAACACAAACTGAAAAAGAACTAGACTCCCTATATATAATTTTCATTCTAATCCCATATGATATTTGCTGTTACACATGTGTCTCACAGAGAGAAAAGCTAATCATGGAAGCCATTTTTAATCTAAACGGAGGATGAACTTTCCCACCAGAAAATTTATTGTCCTTTCTTTTTCTCCTGGGAGAATAAGAGAGGACTGAGAGTTAACTGCTGGCACTGTTTATTTTTGCAACTGGGAAGTTTAGTGTTCTATTCAAAGACTGCGCTTTTGCTTTCATACCAGAGGTATAATTATCTGGTAAAGTCTCCAAGTGATTATTCACAGCAATCTGTTGAGAATTTAAGGCACACAATACTCTGAAATCATTAATAGGAGGACAGGAGGGTAGTGTGTGTGTATGTGTAATACATATTAGTATCACTGTAACTATACAATACTTTTTCCCCAATAAAAGTTGAATGAATTACCCCATCATCAATTAGTTAAAGAAAGTGTTGATCATAAGTATGCAGTAGGTGGCTGATGTGGAATCTCATTTGTGCAAGGAAAGCAGGTCATTCTGCCCATTCAGAATGTGTCTCCCAATGGGATCTGTTTCCTTGCTTGCTGAGAATCAGCTAACAAGAAACCTTAGTTTGTTTCAA